TTAAACAAGTAGATATATATATTAATATATTTCTATGATGTCATCAAATTTGACTAACAAGAGTGAGGTTATTAACTATCATATGTTTCACACATTCCTCCGGAAAAAAAATGGCATTGGGGAAACATGGCTATAGGACACCGGGCCCGATTTAGTGGTGTTACGTTTTACAAAGTTTACCCGAATTATTTTGCAAAGAATTCCGCTCAAACCTGTTCAAGGGGCCGTCTTATCAAACTTGCAGTGAGGTGAGAGTTTTTTGTTCCATGTTGAAGGCTCCTTTGTGACTTTGAGATAAAGAACAGCAATTAAAGCACTGTTCCCTTGCTTTTTGTGTGTTTTTACTGTGTATGTGCTGATTTTGTGTCATGGATGGATACCCCATATCCTTTGTTTTTCTAGTATATATGCAATAAAAATCACTCATCATACCCTCCAAAATCAAATTGGAGAATTCACTGGAGACCATTGACATCCTTGAATTACAAAAAAAGAAATGAAAATAAAAATGTAAGATAAAGAAAATTCATTTTTGAAATCCAATATTAAACTATTGTATATAGATTTAATACGGAATGTTTTACGTCCTGGAAAGAAGTACTTGATCGCTGCGAAGAGGAGTAATTGTAAGAAGAAAGTACTCGCTGTCATTTTTAACTTAACATTAGGTTCATACCAACTTCTCAATATTTAAGGTCTCATTACTCATGTAAAATCATAAACAAACTGGGTTAGAAATGTAAATATTTGAGTGATGAAGTAATTCAATTTGTCTCTTCTTGCTAGACTTGTTACAGCGTCAGCGTTTATTTCTTAGCCAAATGAAATAGAAGTGTAACAGTAAAGAACATCAAAAGCAGTCACTGTAAACGCTTATTAAAGATACCAGGCGTTATACAAGAGTCACAGGAAACGCTTAAAACCAACAAGTAAGAAGTCCAAATCAATAACAATTACGAAGAGCACTGGCAAAAAAAAAAGATTGTGACAGTATGACTACGGAGTTAAAACAAAAACCATAAGTGTTTCGAATGGTTTTAACATTTTATGAGGAATTAAGTTACCCAGAGATCAACTGAGATCATCCCCGCTTTTTGGTGGGATTTGTGTTGCCCAGTCCTTAGTTTTCTATGTTGTGTTTTGTGCACTGTTGTTTGTCTTTTCTGAGGTTTTCATCTTTTTTTGCCATTATGTCAGTATGTTTTCGACATATCTCTAAGATCCACAGACCGCATCAATCAAAGATCAGAACAGAAATTCTGACTACTGGGTTTTTTTATACCCTCGAGGACGATACGCCTACCAGCAGTGACATCGACTAAGTGGTTTTAAAATGTCACCTGAGATCATCCCTAGTTTATGATGGGGTTCTTGTTGCTCAGTCTTTGGTTTTTTATGCTGTGTTTTGTGCACTGTTGTTTGTCTTTTCTCAGTTTGTCTTTTTTTTGCTATGGCATTGTCAGTTTGTTTTCAACTTATGATTTTGAATGTCCCTTTGGTATCTTTCGATTCTCCTAGCGGGTTATTTATACCCTGGAGGACGATATGCCTACCAGCAGTGACATCGACTAAGTGGTTTTAAAATTTAATCACCGATATCAGGTTTATAAATTAGTAAGCCATACATATACACAAGAATCATCGGTGGTTCTTTAACAGTTGGAAGGCCGAAACAATTACAATTTTATTGCGTATACGATTAGAATAGAGTTTGCATCTCCATTATGCCTCCAAGGACTGACTTAGAAATTGAAAATAACTCATTAACAAACTTTTTTTTTAAATGGACATAACAAAAGTTTGAAAGCTTGTACTTTGACCTATGTCGTAACCATTTTACTGGCCCTTACAAAAAATAAAATAGAAACGATACAAAAGAGAAAAAAAAACAAAGATAATATGGATTATTTACAGTTGCTTCAATCATCATTTACTTTACAACTCTCGTTTGTAAATATGTTATTTGATAACCGATGGGCGTTTCTTTGTCCGTCCGTAAGAAAACATGCTTTCGAAAGAAGAGTTTTCTTAAAGTATACACTAAATCCATTGGATGTTGGATGTGTACGGATTGATAATTTAGTCTTAGATGCATGAATTTTTTTATTAGTTGTTAGTGGCTTTGAACTAGCTGTCAGTAACTGCGAGTACTCTCAGATCTGTACTTAGTGTCTTTTTGTTGTTTGGATGTACAAGTACCCGGCCACGTCCACTTGTTTTTGTATTATTTGTATTTTTATCCGTCTGATGAGTTAAGCCTCTTCCAACTGATTTTTATAGTTCGTTCTTATGTTGTACTGTTACACACCTGTCCCAGGTTAAGGGGAGGGTTGGGATCCCGCTAACATGTTTAACCCCGCCTCATTCTGTATGTATGTGCCTGTCCCAAGTCAGAAGCCTGTAATTCAATGGTTGTCGTTTATTTATGTGTTACATATTTTTTTTTCTTTCATTTTTTGTACATAAATTATGCAGTTAGTTTTCTCGTTTGAATTGTTTTACATTGTCATTTCGGGGCCTTTTATAGCTGACTGTGCGGTATGGGCTTTGCTCATTATTGAAGGCCTATAGTTGTTAATTTCTGTGTCATTTGGTCTCTTGTGGAGAGTTGTCTCATTGGCAATCATACTACATCTTCTTTTTTATATCCAATACCTATTCTGAACATTCGATTTAGAATATCTTTCTTAAACTTAATCACGTTGCAGTATAACTGGTTTAATATTTCCACTAGTTTAGATTGCATATTTGCATGCATTATGATAAAAAGAATCACGTCATCTGATATTTATGATATATAAAAAAAATTACGAGCTGTCATACTTACTTATATTACTGAAGTTAACTTTGTAGTTATCATTTCAAAATCAAATGACTTATGGTGGAAAAGTTTATCTTCAAATCTAAGTTAATAATGATAAATTGTCACATTCTGTTTAACAACACATTGACCTGTATTTCTGATATATATTTCTTTATAGGTTATATTTCACTCTGTTTTTCAGTTTCTTTTTTGAATTTATTGTCGACTTATACGACCTTATTAAACAGACATTAGCCCTTTTCCTCGATATTGATACAGATGGACAACTTCAAACTAAAAATCTATGATATACGTGATAATTTCAACTTTCCATTTCTCAGCAGAAACATACCATCTGCCTCATCGTATGACGTCTACATATCCCAATTGATACTTTACGCGTGTGCATGCTTAAATATTGGCAGAAGTATGTGTGATCTTAACACAGACACTACCAAAACAGAGTTATGAAGAAGAACGACAGAAATCGACACTATACTAAATATTACTTTATATGTACTTTCATGGTACTACAATCTGTCGATACCTATAGTTTGGCATTGCACAAGGTCATGTTTTTCTCTGACTGTTAATGACGTCTTTACACTAAATCAATTGGACGTTGGATGTGAACTGATTGATATTTTAGTCTTGAATACATGATTTTTCTCATTAGTTGTTATTGGCTTTGAACTAGCCGGGGTGAGGGGTATGGTTTTGTTTTAGTCAGAAAAAATTTTCGCGCAAAGCGCAAACATTTTTTTTTAGTTTTTCGACGCTATCAATCAAATTTTTTTTCAAAATTTAACCCTTTAAGGTATGAGGGAAATCTGGATTCAGAATATTTTTTTTTTGTTATCTGCTTGACCACAATATTTTTTTTCATCAAATTGGGGATCAGAATATTTTTTTTAGCAAAACACCCATAAAACAGCTGCGATAGTTTGCGTCATTTAGAACGCATCTACACTAGAACAGATTCTGACAGTTCTACGATAGAACGGGTCCTTATTGTTCTACCAAAAAAATGTTTTAAATAGTCATACCCTAGATCTGATTCTGACAGTTGCTACTTGATAAATACAAATGTTTATTTTTGTGTTACTCCTTTCAGTTAACAAATATCTAAAGACTCCTACTACAACGAAATACGTGCAAAAGTTTCACAAGTTAAATAACGACCGATCGTAAATGTATTAGGTAGATGTAAAGGTATATCTGAAATCATAATGTCCTTTCCAGTAACTGGTTATCATAATTGCTAGTATAAATTTATAACACAATACATGCCAAAAGTGATCGGCTAATATTAGAAATATTTTCTTATTTTTAATGATCCTTTTAATGTAAAAAGATAGAACTGGTCCTTATTGTTCTACCAAAAAAAAATGTTTTAAATAGTCTTACCCTAGATCTGATTCTGACAGTTCTACCCTTGAACAAATGAATTGATGTATGCTCTTTGTATTTCGACAACAAGAAAATCTAGATATTTTTAACAAAGTACAAGGATTTTCTTCATACCATTTTTTATACATGTTAAGTGAAGCAATTTATAAATTGCATTACCCAAATGGTTATATGTCACGGTTTGGACTGATCGGTGACACCAAAAGTTCAGATTTGGTTATTTTCATAATATACTTCATTGCATTGTACAGTTAACGTGTTTTTTTTTTTAAATGTTTACGGATCAAGGGCTGTAGTACTTAAAAAACAATTTAAAAAAATGGATAACAGGAATCACCAAAATATGTCATAGTGCAACATACCCTATGTTATAATTAATCGAAAATCTTTTCAAAGTTTTAATTTTAAGAGTCAATATATTAAGGTGATTTACTATTAATTTACAAACAAAGATTGTCTTTCTTCATTTTACCACATTAACCTGCATTTTTTTTGGCGAAAACTAAAATTCATCATTCGAAAAAAAGTAATTCATAGTTTAAAGTCTATTTTCTTAATACTGTTCATATATCGTTTTTAAATCAGAAGACGTAATAGGAAAAATTGACTTCTTTGGAAATAATTGCCCGTCCTCCTGTTCCTGTAGTATGCCCTAGAATAGTAAAAGATATGGTCGTACAATAATTGGGTGCAGTAAAAAGGAAATTATATGCGTAATATGCTATACCGAAAGTACAGTAAGCCAATGGAAACCAACATCCTGCCTTCAAGTACTTAAATATGTCTTTTGAATGTGGCGGTACGAAAGGGCTTTTGAAGACATTATTTGAAAGAACGTTTGCATAATTCATTTGAAAAGATGAGGACTGTACTTTTGCTAATTATTTTATCAATAGTAGTATTGGAAATTAGGCAAGGTAAGTAACATGATTGCATCATTGAAAAGAGGGTTGATATTTTGTATTATTTGTGTTATACTTAGCAGAGATCTTTTTCAAGATGGCATGTTATAATTTTGCATTCAACCCTTCTTTATTTTAAAATCATTTAATATTCATTCTTTTGGAATCCTAAAATTATATGAAAGTTAAATACATAGTCAGGTCATTTGAGACGTCAAAAACTTATTTCTATCGAACAAAAACCCAGCGTACGTAAATGAAAGTGTGCAAAAAATCGTTAAAAGTAACTATATAAATAAATAGCTACGAAGAGGATATGAACAAGTTTTACACATTTATGATAATCACAGATAAAATAATTATTTCCTTGCTTTCATGACTAAAGCTAAATAAAACGTTAATAAACAGAAGTCAAAAACACTCATGATTTAGCATAATTTCTAGAACAAATGTTAACTAAGTCATTTTGTTTTATATTTTTTTAATATTCTAAATTAACTGGTTGAGGTGTAAAATGAATAACTCCTAAAACAGAAGGAAACTGCTTGTTATAAAACCACGAAGTGCCTTTCAATCATTACTAATTATTCAACTACATGAAGCTAGGTTAAAAAATGATATTGCACTTTATATATTGTATGCATCCGAAATACTTTCCTGGTCTGGAGTAACCTCAAAAGAAAATATTTGAAAGCCAAGAATGTATAAATACCAAAACACGTGAAAAGCTATATGACGAAAAAGGAACCTAAAATAAAAGCTAAATCAATTTATGATCAACTTACCTGAGGGAGTTAGATCCTTAATTTCTCAATTCTTTCTTTTTTAAAAACGGAAAATGAAAAACAGTATTTGTAAATCACGTCATTTCCGAACCACGGACTACCAATCTGATGATATCTTCGAGGACTAATAGTCCACAAGCAGCGGTATATAGCCTTGCTCCATGTAGAACTTGCAAAAAAAAAGGTTAATCTACTTTAGTGAAAAGTTATCATTTTGCAGTGGATTTTATTATATTGAAGAGTAATGTCGAATTCTCTAGATCATTTTTACTTTCCTGGAAATATTGATGATAAGAATACAAATTTCAAGGCAAAATGCAAACACTGCTTTTCTGTTATATCTGGCAGTCTAAGGATAACATCAAATTTTGTAACTCATCTTAAGGTAAGACTTTCAATGATTAAGATATTGTATTATTATGTCTGATATATTTTACACATATATTTAAAAAAAAATAAAGTGGTATAAATACTAGAATGACCAAATTATAATTCTAAATGGATAACACAACACTGTATATCAGATTGACTTCCTTTTTTTATTTCATTTTATTTCATACATTTTCCTGCATAAAAAGATTAATATTTGAAAAGCATTACTGTAAAAGTGTTCCATTGTTGTCAACAGATCAATGAATACCTTGTGATGATTAAATAATAGATAATTGAACATTGTCATAAAACACTAGTTAGTTTGTTTTACAATCAATCTTTTCGCCATTTTGACACTTAGTCATAAATTAAGCTCTATGTTTATTATATAATTAGGAAAGAAATTCTCAGTAAATATTTTGATTGAAATTAAAAAAAAACAAATGAATGTTTATAAAAGTAAAGTTAACATTAAGTTAAAATAAGTATTAAACTTCATCTCTGTAATTTCTTTTTAGAGAAAACACAGAGATGTATTTGTGACTTAATGTTGTTTTTCTAGATGTTTGAATTTTCTATTCACTTGATAATAAAATTTACAACTGTAATGTGTAATTCAATGCATTACTTTGCAAAAGTAATTGTAATTTAATGCATTACTTTGATAAATGCATCTAATAGTAATTGTAATTTAATGCATGGTTTTGTCAAGGTGATTGTAATATAATGCATTACATTGCAATGTAATTCGCCCCATGCCTGGTATATACCCAGTGCCCGGAAAAAATGACACTATTAAAATATTGTACGTCCGAAGCTCTTTCCTGTATTAGCCTTCATCAGGAACGCTATGAAAACCAAGGACGCATAAGTACTGAAACAGGATACAATATTACGAAAAGGAACCGTGCAGACCTACACAATAAAAAAAATTAAGCGGGTTATAATCTACTAAATTCTCCATTACGTTTACGATTTTTGAATTGTTGGAACGGTTGGTAGTCTTTCTTATTGTACCAGTTAGATTTTTCACAACTTAATCCGACTGATATTTCTTCAATATAACCTCCACAAATAAGAACTGTCCGTCACAAAATAGCACAATAGTGCTGAAAGTGGCATTAAACACCAATCAATTAATCTATTAATCTTTAATATAACGTATTCTTGTCAAGATATTTAGGTGTTGGTGTTAAAAACTGTTACTATTTCTGATTTGAATAGTTTGACCATGTTGAATTAGTTTGACACGTCAACAATGCAACAGTTTATGTCCTAATTTTTTTATTATTTATATCTTTATGATTTTCAACCTAGTCAATATGCAGTTTATTATAATGCAAGTTTTTTTGTCCTAGTTGCAAAACTTTGACTTAATATAATAGCATTATATAACTTCTAAAGAGGCAAAGTAAAAAGTACTGAAATATCATAATACACTTTTAATTATCCTTATTCGCCAAGAATATTGTAGTATTAGTTCATGTTACCTATTACGTACTATATTTAGTGTCAATATAATACTTTGAACAATTTATTTGAAGAAACAACCACTCATGCTGTTGTGTATATATATATCGGGATTAATTCAATATTCATTCTTATTTACAATTTATTCGGTCATTAAGAAAATATAGATAATTTAAAACGACTTTCCAATGATAGAAATAAAAGTGTAGTATCATTGCTCTTCAACTTCGTACTGTATGTGGCCTTTTATTTCTATTTATATTCGATCGTCACTGATGATTCTTTTGTAGACGAAACGCGAGTCTGGCATATTCAATTTTAATTCTGATATATATGATAAAAAAATTTATCAGCGTGTAAAGGGCCTTTTGCATTCTTGTTCTGAATTTCCCTGACAAATATTAAACGATATAGAAACATTATTTTGGAAATCAACTCACTTATAATTTCTATTTCATATACAATTTTACAATGGTATTTTCAAATGGTTATACCGATTTCAGTGTGTATGTCACGTGTTACAATAACCCAAAATAAGGTACACGGAAAGAAAACATTATATACCAACAAAAGTAAAGGGTAAAATTGTAAACAAACAAATGTATTACGTTCAAAATTGTTTTTCGGAAAATCAGCATATATTGATGAGATTCATTTTACATCGTACTGATGAAGGATAGCTGTTATCCGGAATATTTATTGATACTTTTATGTACGTTTTCCTTTTTAATGTTGATGGTGTTGTATACTTTTTAGGCGATTATATAATTTTTTACTGTGTACAGTATTGATTCATATAACGATCCAATACCCTCGTAACAAAGATGGTTGACTATTATCCAGACATTATAATATATAAGAATAGACGGTAATAAATATAACTGACTACTAGTATCATAAACACGTAGTTCTCCAAATGACGAAACAATAAGAAATCATTTAAGACAGATTATTAAAAAAGGTATAAATGTTTTGTCACAAATGTGATGGTATACTATGGTCCATCCTATTGGACGTTATTTCTTTACATTTGACCAATCATATTTTTGCTTTCAGTTTTGGGCGTAAATTGTTCAACCTTAGATAATCCGGCACATGGTCGAGTAAGACTACGAGCAAGAGGCAGAATCGCAAAGTTCAGATGCTATCGTAAATACACGTTATTTGGAAAAAAAATGATCATATGTTCAGGCGACAAATGGAGTTTTCCACCACCTATTTGTATACGTGAGTATGGTTTATATATCCCAAACTATCCAAGATCTTTCCCAAACCCCCTTTGAAATCTTTCAAGCAGCCAAACTATTCCGAGGAATCTGCTTATAAAATTGAAATGTTTACACCCAGTACGGCCTCTTGAGAGCGACGCTCGTGTGGTTACAAACGCTGTAAACACTAGTAAACCAATGTAAATGATGAGATTAGATCTATGATTCAACAATGTTCATCAGCAATGCAATCCAGACACACTTTAAATTATTTTGTTATGTATCATATTAAAGTCTGAATATCATTTACATCCTAGAAAATGTTATGAATGGTATACTTGTCATATGCACTGTCTGAAAAAAATATAATATATAATAAAAGCGAACATTTGTCCCATGTACAAATTCATATCAAGAGCCAGTCTGCCAGAAAACCATTGAGCCAGTCTGCCAGAAAACCATGCATTAGGCTCCAAATGCAATGTTATCATATTGACCTCAAATTTTGCATACATGATACCTTCATGGCAACTACTCTCTGATCAAATTATTTTTAAATATATTCAATGGTACTCTCTTCATGGAGCACCATCTATATATAGCCATTTATGGTGAAAATAAAGCTGAAAATTTGCCAATTTCAGCAGACTTAAGCTGACAAATACCAGTGTTTATCAACATGAAACTGTTTTATTGGTAATAATATTTTGTAAAACTGTATTCTAACTGTCAATTTATATTAACGCCTGAGGTTAAATTTTTTTCCTATATTTGCTCATGCTGGTCTAAATATCAGAAGTTTTACGAAACTGCTAAAATGGTGAAATTTTCTAATTTTTAAAAGTCTATATTTTCTAAAGTGGCAAAAATATATTAATGCCATTTGTTTTTTCTTAAACCCTAATCATATATCTACAAAATATAAAAAAAATCAATTTCAACAAATGATTATAGTTATCAATATAAAATTATTAGTTTAGAAGGAATAGTGGTTTAGCAGGTGTTATCCCATATCAATGAAATTTTTCTTATTTGGACCCATCAATAATTCCCCTCTGGGGCCCCACCTTGTAGAAAATAAACATATGATGCACACCTAAAATATCAAATGAGTATCTCATACAACTTCCACATTAAACCCTTTAGTGGTTGCGGAGGAGTTGCGGACCACAGGTAGTTACACTACACCACTACTGATTTTCTCCTTTTTGGTCCAAAGTTTCACAGCCCCATAATCCGTCAATAATAAAAAAAAAAAACACATGTTGCACAATTTCACAACCCCCACAAGACACATCATTAGTTTGGTTTAAATACATTCTGTACTTTAAGCGGACTTAAGGATTGTAGATATATTACAAACAAAAAGATGGACAGACAGACAGACAGACCGACATTATGAATATTATATATACCCCAGCTATCACTAGCAAGGGTATAATAAGTCCTTTTTTACAAAAGGATCGAATGGATTCAGGACAGCCAATAATTACGTGTCAAGCTAGCCCTTCTGGTTTTAAATAATTTGTTAAAAGAAGAAACGCTGAGGGGATATGGTTGGTTGGTTCACTATTGTGGATACTCATATGAATCTTTCCAATGGAATAAGACATGTGGAGAAAATTTATCAAATCACCAATTACTATATCAAAATTAAAAAGGAGGGATATGTTGTATAGATTCATGACAAAAAATCTTTATATTTACTTGATAAAATCCTAGCAAATTAGCAGAGCTTTTGTTGCTGTTCTTCATCTTAAAGTCACAGTGATGCCTTCAACATGTACAAAAAGCTCACACCTCACTGCAAGTTCAAAATGACCCTTAGCACTGTTTAACTTCATTTAGACTTTAACTGTCGGATTTCATGTACATAAAATTACATGTTTTAATCATTTTCATTTTATATTAATTCAAAATACACGTATTAAGGCAATTAATACTGGAAAGTAAAACACTAATACAATGACGGTGGCATTTTTTGTAGTTACACTGTACTGGTTTTGCAACAAGAATGAATGTAAAGTTGAAATGTCTATTATATCTGTATAATGATATATGTTGCCAAGTCTGCAGACACAGCATATACCGGTATGTCATCATTTAATATTCTGCCAAGGTGTTTTGCAAATCTTCGTCCTCAACTACATTCAAATTCTCAATTCTAACTAATGACGACTTTGCTTGATATCTAGATTCAAGTTTGACAAATTTTGCAAATACACTCCAAACTTGAGATGTGGTAACCACTCATCAGAGTTAAATTTCTTTGTTCCATCATCGTTCTTAAATAGTTTCAAATTATCAAAGGTTTGATAAAAAATTGGTCTTTTTTCTGTAGCACTGCATTCTACGTATATATCATGTAATAATTCCTTAACCATACTACCATACCATTTCCTTTTCAATTTTACTAAAACGTTTCAATGGCTTATAGAAACCGTAAAAGATCATCTTTCTGCAATATAAATTCAAAAGCTAATTGTAGCAAAACCGTGGTCATGAAAATCAGCAACACATGTCTTAGCCCAGAGAAGTTTCGCTTTGTAATAACAATTTTCTATGTTGGCATATATATATATACGCTTATATATGCATATATGATATTCTAAGACGTGAGGTGTTTGTTTAAACATTTAAGCAATTTTGCTCTGGACAAGCAAAGAATGGATCATCATCTGAATTATCATCAGTGTCGGCTATTACATTTGCTCTTGGAAAATATTCAGTTTCTGCTGTTTCATTATATCCTCCATCTAATTTGTCTTTGTGATAAGTGTAATTAACAGATCCTAGTTTCTGATTAAAAAATGGTATTTGTACCTACAAAAAAACACGTAACCATATTTTCATAACATATGGAACTGATTGAGCATAACGTAGGTAAATATTGACAAAATGCTAAAAGAATAGTGTTCTAGCTCAATACAAATTTTTTTTCTCAAAAATGACGCTTGACATTATTGTCTCAAACAGACTAGAAATTTTACTGACACTGCTTTTTTTAGAACAATACAAGGGTAATTACTAGTGTAGCACGACAAGCTTACCCTTCCTAAGTACCAGAGTACCTTCTCTCGTTGTAGTTTTTGGTATCGGGTCCGTTCGCTCCCAATACACGTTCGCATCCAACACGTTCGCCCCCTGGGTCCATTCGCACCCTATTTTTGTTGAAAAACCGGTTGAATTATTAGATGTTTTTTTTATGTATATATACTGGGACGATTATATTAAGGGGGGTGGGGTTAGGAAACACAAAACATATATCTGCTCAGGATTCGTAATTTTTGTTTGACGATTCTATACTAAAGTACAGTTTGACATGTAACTGCTTTCGAGAAGGTATTCATGCTTCCAATGGCAATTTGTTATAATTTTATATGATTATTCATAAAAGTATACAGATATTTGATAACCCATATCAAATTCATGAACGTGTGCTAGTAAATTTTATCAAGCCAATGTCACAGTACTGACCTGGACCTGAAAATAACCAAACTTAAAAATCAAGAATTTGGTCCACCAAGACGATGCATATTTTCATTGATAAAGACATAAGACATAAGACATACGACATTTTATTTCACAAAAGCCCCCACATGGGGTATGTTAATACAACATTTTAACAAACAATAAAAGTTGGAACATATTTACATTAGAACAACATGGTAAACAATGGTGCAATGATAGTATACATAATGAATACTAATATGTGACAGAAAGTACAAATTATAGTAACATGATTAAGCACATGTATTAAAAGGTTTTAATAACACTTCAAAATTTTGCTATTCCAGTAATTGTAAATAAATCTGGTGTATTCACCAGTTCTTTAAATTTTAAAACATTTGGGTTATTACACATATTTAAAGGTAAAAATTTAGCTCTTACATTGTTGAAAAAGGTACATTTGAATAAGTAATTTAACTCATCACCAAGTTCATTAGCATTACAGAGATTACAATGTCTTTCAGTTCTATCAATATTTAAAAATCTGTCAGTTTCAATGGGCAATCTATTTCTAGGCAATGGAATTAACATAAATACATTCTTAGATCAGATGGTAATACTAATAAATATTTCTCAAAACAAAAATCAGATTTGTATATTCTATTATTAAGACATTTTGCAGAATTCATCACATTATTACTCCAGTTCAGCACCCTCAAACATTTCTTTACATTCTTACTAATATTATATTATCAGATTTAGCAATTATTTGATTATCCCACATCAAATTAAATCCACATTTATATAAAGTATCTCTTTTAATTTCTAACAACCATTTAAAGTGGTAGAAACCCCTTTTACTAAGCTGATACAATATAGAATACATTGTATATGAATTTTTTTCTCTTTTGCCACACATGATACGTTGCTGAAAACCAACCATTCTAGCTTTAATAAGAATATGTAATGGTATTCTCCATAAATCATACAATGAGCAGTACTTTTTTAACCTTCAAAATTGTTTTACAAAATTCCACATGCAAGTTTTCTATAATATTAAAATTTTCAAAACCGCATACTTCTGCACCATATAACAAAATAGGTACAACCATCGTATCAAAAAGCCCTAATTGCATATCAATTCGTAAATTCAACTTTCTAGCCTTTCTTAAGACTATAAACATGACTTTTCTTGCATGCTGTACAAGATGTGCTTTAATTTGGCATCATTGAAATTACCCGTACATGAAAATATGATACCAAGGTATTGAAAATTTTTAACAATATTTAGGCTTTCACCACTATATTCAAAGTTCTTATTATATGTGTTAAGTCTAGACCTTGGAAACTAATTTTAAGACATTTTTTTGTTGAAAATAAATTATTTGTTGCAGAAGGTTTACAAGAGAAATAAGTAATTTCTTTGCCACAGATTTTAGATCATTTTCCCTTACATGAAAATATTTAATTTAAATCAGCCTAGAGCAAAAATAAATAATTTACCCAAAAAACATTGAAAATTGATATTTGATCCAAAAATCTTCCAAGCTCAACCCCATCCCCCCTTTTCTCCAACCAAAAAATCAAATGGTCCTCATGAATCTATTATGTGTATGTGTATGGATAGAGAGTTTTTTCTTATCTGTTCCTATGTTGATGACCTCTCCCTTGTTTCCAACTAGTAGGCCTTGTAGACTCTCTGTTTTCTGTTGCATTGCTGGAAGCTATATGTTCTAGGTAGCAACATTTCAGTTTACTTAAGCTTCCTCTCCAATAAATGCCAAAAATAGTCTCGTTGTTGTCGGAATATGTTTAACTGAAGCGATATAGCATCAATATTTAAAATCCAGTGCCATATGAAAATAGGGTAAACTTTCTTGGTTCACTTTGACTTCTTTCCAGATACTCCAGTCTAATCAAATGTATATGTGTGTTCTTATTTAACTGTGAAATAGGTATTGCGGGTGTGTCATTGTTATAACTTGGTTATTTTCCACAAGAGATACCAGTAAATATGAGTAGTCTCATCTCTTGTTCTACTTCTCCGTGACAGACAACTTATGGTAACATTATGTTTTCACAACGGAGAGTGTAAACAAGGGGAAATAACTCATAGAAAACCTGTGACTGGTTTTTCACTATTTCAGAGATTTTTTGGCAATAATACATAAAAATAATGACATTATGTATGTAAACTGTATCATGCAGTAATTCTATTTAATTCAGATCTAAAGTTAATTCATTGGTTAGGGTTAATGGGTTTTAATAAGTTTTAAATAATTCAGAAATTTATCAAAATATAGGAAAGTTAGATGCAAATTTCAATATCCTGCAATAATTTGCCAAATTAGATTTTAGATATTTTTGACAATATCTTTTGGTATATTCACTGATGCTTATTTCATGAATAAATAAATGCCACTTTAGATTGATGGACTCAAACTTCCTTCAAAATTCATTGTGGTCTACAGGGCCCTTCTTTAACATACCACAACGAATAATCATTCGAGACAAATCTTTCCTGACATGGTTTATTTTTGTCTATCCAGATCTTTTTAGCAAACATAAGTTGAAATTACCAGTAACACTGTTAAAAATCAGAATTTATTGAGTTGAAACTATACACTAGCATTTAAGTGATTTTTAGGCATTTATGCAAATGAGGCTGTTTCTAAAAATAGACACGATGCAACAAAGTCTAAGATATATTTTCAATTTTTTTTTATATATAAGATTTCAAAAATATAAAAATATTTCAAAAGTTCCGACATGCCATTTGGACAATATTTTCGATTTTGCATGGTTTTCTGGCAGACTGGCTCTTAAAGACGGAATTGCCAACATATCTTTAATTGAATTTAAGTGTTTTGAGTAATATCATACACAATACCGTGTCGATCTAAAAAGGAAGGATAACATTTCAGGGAAAATACACTAGAGGCTCAAAGGTGGCTCACCTGTCAAAATACTGTAGTATGCAAAATAGAAATAAAAAAAAAGAAGTAACAGCACTTGCATCCATCTGTCACCGTTTAAGTAAAATTGTTACCGGAATTAGAAAAAATATCAGCTAGGAGAATATCAGGAAAAAATGGTCGTAAAGTCATTTATGGGTATTAACCCATATAAGGAGTCAGTTTACGATTTCTAACATTAGCTTTCCTTGTAACTTTTGTCTTCCTGATAATGTTTTCTGTTTGCAGTTCCTCTCTGTTTATTATTGTTTTAAGGTTAATAGCCAAAAGCGCAAAATTAAAAAATAAATGGCAACTGCCAACAGGACAACATTTCAATTAATGGGAACTGTCGATTGACGTTTATTCTATATCGGATTTTGCTGATAGTTTAACTGTTTACAGTTTTTCCCTTTCTATGATGATTTAGAAGAAAATAGCCCTTGAAATAAACAGATTTGGAAAATAAATTCTTGCTAAATTTTTTCATTCGAAACACTATTGTTTGATAATAAAGATGTTTTTTTCTGTCCAATTTTCATGCGGTTCAATGCAAATTCTATCACTTTAGTCATGTTGTAAAAATAATTTGATATTAATATTTACTTATATGTTTGTGTACAGTGTACTTTCAGATATTTGACTGTTTCAAGTGACTTTAACACGTACTAAGCTCAGTTTATCACAACAAATATGGGGAAAGAAAATATTGTTTGATAAATTTTACATTAAAAATTAAAAGAGAGGCGAGATATACCGAAGGGACATTCAAACTCGTAAGTCGAAATAAACTGACAACGCCATGACTAAAAATAAAAAACGATAATAAAGACAAAGAATAGTACACAAAACATAAAAAAGAAAACTAAAGTCTTAGCAACATGAACCCCACCAAAAACTGGGGGTGATCTCAGGTGCTCCGGAAGGGTAAGCAGATCCTGCTCCACATTTTGCACCCGTCGTGTTGCTCATGTAAGTACAAACCCGCTGATTCGTTAGGTCTCATTCGGGGAAAAGGGGACGGAATTAGAGTTACGGCAATTGAAACATCCGTCGTCATCTGTGAAACAAATATTCCATAACGATCAACCAACTCGTAATGGCGTCCATAAAATTTACGAAGGGATGATTTTAAATTCGCCTTTTGAAACTCTTGGTTTGATAACTTCCTTGTGAGCAGCAACCCTCTATCAAGGAAGTAATGATAGGAAATACAAGCCCTGTAATATCGTATCAACTTGAATATATATACGCCGTATGCAGGCGCTGCTGCAATATTGCTACATAGAAATGGAAAATTCACCATTGGGAAGTTGAAATCATAATAGCTAATTAAATTCTGTATTAAAATCATTTATTCAAACTAAAAAAACTTTATATTAGCAGTTCTAACCAACTGTTTGACAAATCCGTTAACTACATAATATATACACCCGCTATGTCTAGCCAACGAATTCTGTCATAGGCAAGATGTTTGAAAAATAGTCTAAAAAATTAATTGTTATAGCCAAAACTCTGTGTAAGGAGGAGGAAACAAATGAATGAAAGAACATTTTTTTTACAAATAATCATCTCTAAAAGCAGACAAAATATCATAAAATTGACAAGTTAAAAAACCAGGAAACTACTTTTTTCAGGAAAAGGTTGTGATGAAATTCAATCTACAGGAAATGTTACAATCACTGAAGAAAAAAATGGCGCTGTACTAGAATTCAAATGTGCTCCACCACTCATATTGACAGGCGAGAAAATGATCACGTGTGATGGAGCTACTTGGAGTGCCCAAATTCCTTCATGTAAATGTACGTATGTTTTAGTGCTCACCAAAGTGATTCGAGCATCACTGATAAGTCTTTTGTAGGCAAAACGGGCGTCTGGAGTACAAAATTTTGATTATGGTTCTCATAACGAATTTATTTGCATTAAAAGATTTTCTTTCAAAACAAAACTAGAAAATCGTGTATTTCATTTAAAAGGAGTAAAACTTTTAAATTTTAGCGACAGAAACATACAAAACTTCCTTCAACTAATGATAGAATAGATAATGTTCCTTATCTTGACAGTAGGTAAACAACTTGAACAGGAATTAAACTACCTACACCTTACAGCAGTTGTCGACGAAAGTTTTACTGTTTCACATTCCTCAGTATTTAGACAGAAAAAACTTTATATTTATTTTTCATGGAAAACACATTTAAAAAAAATAAACGCTGGTGAGCTTTTAATTGAATATAAGAACAAAACAAAACAAATAAAGCACATAAAACATACGACTTGATAAAGACAGACAACAACCAGAATTATGGATTTCGAGCAAGCTTATATTAAAATTTAATAAATAATTTAAAACATAAAATACAACTATTTGACAATAAAAATGCGCAGCTCATGTGGCAAGCGCCTCTATCGGTCATTCGACAGCAGATTATCAGCTGTGAAAATTGAAAAGTTTAAAATTAGCACTAGATAGCAAAGCCATTTATATAAGCTAAACATTTGAGTTAAATAATATATCAAGAAATCAGTAAAATAAAAAGAAATGAGTTGCAGAACTGATACTATGGTTTACGATTTTTTGTATGACACATGGGAAATAAAGCATTCCTGTGTTATTTTTTAAGTTATCTTATATAGTCCTTTGCCTATATTTTGTATGCAGATGTAGAACCAGGAAAATACTGTGATTTTGAAGATGAAAATATTTGTGGCTGGCAACATGATAAACTAGCAAACTTTGAATGGAAATGGAATTCTGGTACCACACCTACTCGACGCACAGGTCCGAAATATGACCATACCTTGGGGAAAGGTCGAAACGGTAGGAAAATGAACATATAATTATAGGGGTTTTCTTTTCTTTTTTGATGAAAATGAAGCTCGAAAAAAATTAAACTAAAAAATAAGCAATGTGTTACAGAATAATGATTCTATAGTATAGTTATTGAACACAAGAGATTATTTTTTTTATGAACAACAGTATGTCCCTAATGCCCGCCCATTGGTGGAGAAAAAAAATGATTGAACCAAAACAATTATAACTAATCATCAATAGTATCTCAAAAGCCATTGGATTAAATATTATGATTGATCATTAGCATATGGATAGCTGCTTGCCATTTGCAAGTCAGCAAGGCAGAATGTGTTGATCTAAATGTGTCAAAGAATTTTTTCCTTATGCGCTAGTCGCAATTAAGTAAGAAAAATATACATATTTCAAAATATAAAGCAATGTGTTATCTGAATTGATAATTGCTTCGTATGGCATATTTGTGAATCCAATTTCTTGTTTTTTTTCAGGACATTATATGTTTATGGAATCATCATCTCCTATAGAAATGAACGACAAAGCAAGATTATTGTCTCCGTATTTTCCAGCTACAACCGGTGGTCTGTGTTTTGAGATCTGGTATCATATGTTGGGACCAGTAGGATACAACCGTATGCATTGGTCAACAAATTATATTTACCATTTCATGGAAGGCTTACGGTTTCAAATTGATCACAGAGTCTTTTATCGCTTGATAACGTTATGGGTTTTATTGATACCACATGTTCATATTGTTACATATAGCGGTTTTGGTAAGAAGTCACAGTTGCTATACTTCCTTATGAATATCTGTGTCACAGATGACCACAAATATGTTTAAATTGTCGTAACCACGATCCCTTTCTCTATTCCTCGGTTGTAACATCACCGAATGTGACTAATCACCGAATTTATAATCACCAGGAGTAAGCTAGCAATACACAGTTAGGAGTTTGGTTTCGCATTTTGGCCCCGTTAAATTTTTCAAATATGAAAGTAATTGTGCAATCAAATTGATTTTTAGATAGCTGAAGAATAATAGCCTTCAAAGTGGGTTTATATTTTTTTTGTTCGAGCATATTGTTTTTCTTATATTATTTAACATTTCACAGCGGTATAACATGTTACTTTTATTATTCTTCCCTTAGTTTATTTATTTTGTATTTACATTGTATCATAGATCAAATTTATTTGTTCAGTGTATGTTCACTGGTGTTAATATGTGCTTTGATTGAGTTAAGCCATTTCACTTGATATTTTATAGTGTGTCTTTCTATGTTGTGATGTTACACTATTGTTTCAGAAAAAGGGTGAAGGTTTGGTACCATTAAAACGTTTAAACCCGCTGCAATTGTTTGCACCTATCCTAAGTCAGGAATCTGATGTTCAGTAGTTGTCGTTTGTTGATGTGGTTCATAAGTGTTTCTCGTTTCTCGTTTTTATATAGATTAGAACGTTGGTTTTCCCGTTTGAATGGTTTTACACTAGTAATTTTTGGGGCCCTTTATAGCTTGCTGTTCGGTGTGAGCCAAGGCTCCGTGTTGAAGACCGTACTTTGACCTATAATGGTTTACTTTTATAAATTTTGACTTGGATGGAGAGTTGTCTCATTGGCACTAATACCACATCTTCTTATATCTATTATATGATCGTTGAGATGGTTTTTTTTCCAAGTTTTATGGACCTTTTTTCTGTTTGACAGTCTGTATTTTCACATACGCACCGCCCATATGTCCAGAAATTATTATAGTGTTTTCCAACAAATATTTACGCCTGAATTTTTTAGTTCAAATTTATGAAAAAATCAGATGAAATGCATACGACTTTTATTCAACCTCTTGATAGATACATGTCAATGGTTTCAGAAAAGGTATCACTCAAATGGATTGAAATTCTACTTTGGACCAAAATTTTGTGACTTTTGGCCCTCCTTTTTGCAATGTTTTGTATCAAATAAATATAGATTTTTGCCATGGTTTCACAAAAAGAGATTATATTTCAGCATTTTAACTACTTAGTATTGAAAATCAAATCTATGAAGGATGTTGTTTCCATACACATGCACATTTATGACCAGGATCGGTATACCCCTTCCGGAGCACCTGTTATCAACCACAGTTTTTGGTAGGGTTCTTGTTGCTCAGAATTTTTTTTCAATGTAGAGTTTGTCCCCTTGAAACAGTATTTTCTGCCTCTTTTCTATGACAATTCGAATTTGGGAGAGAATGAGCATGCTTTAAAAATGCAAATGTTCGTACAAAATTTTCAAAAAATTTATAAAAAAAAAAAGTTTTTTGTTCAAATTGATCGAGTTCTAATCAATTGCATGAAAATGGGTAATATTTGAAAACAACAAAGACTGTAAATAAGAATAGATATGAATTGCTGATGCATATGTAATCCACTCTGCAAAAACATAATTTCTGTTACAACAAATAACTGAGAAATATTAATGAGTCGGTTAGGATTCTATTTACATCTGGGCATATTGTATACACAGCGTTGTCTGCATGATAATCTCTATGAAACTTTTCAGTGTTTTCGTGTAAAAGACTAATTTCTGTGGCACTCTTACCAGCAATGAATTAGAACCTTATTTATTGATTTCAAAACGATTCACAAAATGTAAAACGTATATTTAGAAAAATAACAGAATATCCTTTTTCAGATTATAGCATGTATTTGAATAATATTGAATAGATAAATATACTTCATTATCACTGAACTAGTATATATATATTTGTTTAGGGGCCAGCTGAAGGACGCCTCCGGGTGCGGGAATTTCTCGCTGCATTGAAGACCTGTTGGTGACCTTCTGCTGTTGTCTGTTCTATGGTCGGGTTGTTGTCTCTTTGACACATTCCCCATTTCCATTCTCAATTTTATTTAATACTATATGAAAAAATAAAGTGAAGGAACTATTAATACGAATGACCCAAAAGATAAGCTTCTGTGCCAAAATTTTGAAATTTACATCAGGAAATTACCTTTCCCTCACCTTGACCAATGGTATTACTGATATCCATAAAAGAAAGCAAGAAAATCATATTTACTCATTTTCTTAACAGAAGTTGGAAGATTAAAAATATATATTGGAAAAATGGGACAAACGGATATACTATCACAAAAAGCAGAGTTCGAGGTTTTTGGGAATCAAGGGGACGAATGGATAAAAGGACAATTTCCAGTCGGAGAACGAAAAACGTCTTTCATGGTAACTATGTAGTTGAAAGGCAACATACTTCCAAATTAGAAATTTAAATAAAATTATCTTTTTTCCCCCTCAATATAATGTTATTAGTATATATGTAAATTAAAGGCAACATTAGTTAACCGAATGATGTTCAAATCTTATAAATCCATTACAAAGATACAAATGAAGCAGGTAGAAAACAAATGTTGAGGTAATCACATGGACTGCAATAGGAGCGAAACCGGAAGCATCGATAGGGTAGTTTCCTGCTGCTGTGTATGCATCACCTGTAATACGATTTCAAACTCATTCACAATGTCACAATATGGAATAGGACACAGCCGATAAATTCAAAGATCTGACAAATATTATGGTATCGAAGATCTAACACCGCAAAATCATATCGCTAGTGAGTTGAGACACAGACAGCTCGTGTCGGTCAATCAATTCATGATGGTGATTGTAAAACTCATGAAGTGTCGATTTCATTCCTTTTTGCTCATACCTCTGTTTGAGCAATTTTGTGTAAGTAGCACCCTGTTAATGAATTCCGTATAATGTGAGCATGTAAGAGTGATACGCATTGATTGGAATATGAAGACAACATTCAGGGATGTGAAAAAACTATGCCTCTATTATCTGGCTTGTACTACTTGACCAGACAAGTAATTTCTGAAAAAATGTTTTGCATCCAAAGCGCCTTTCTGGATTTACCTTTATCATAAACGCTTAAACTTATACATTTAATAGCCATGACTGTGCAATAGCAGACAGTAAGGATAAGTAAAAAAAACTTGGCAAGTATATTTTTGTATAGTACTTGTACTTGGGCAAGTGAGGAATTTGATATTTTCACACCCCTGGACTTACGATGGGCAGAAGCTATTGATATGTAACTGCTGAGAAATGGACAGTTGACGGATTGGATAGGTGAAGTCATCATGTGTATCATAGAATCTGGTTTAAAGTCATGCATCTCTGTCAATATCGTGGAAAAAATCAAAATAAGAAGCAGACCTACTTTCAGTAGTATCCTTACGCTGAAGTTCACTGGAAACATGAGATGCAAGCACTTACAGAAATATGGGCTATTGGGTGACAGAAGATCATCAATATACATTAAAATGATTTTAAAGAACTTTGCAAGATATTCTTTCTTTTTGTTTTTGCGAGGACAACAAATTAAAATACTATTTGAAATTATTGTTCAAGACACTACGAGGGTCTGGTCAATACAGTTTTTAGCTTTAACGTGTCCAATTATTTCCCTGAAAATCATTTTTTTAAAGATATTTCTTCAAAAAGACCCACAGTATGTGAACATTGATTTCTAAATGGTATGTTGCAGAATAATATATATGTTATTCGCTATTCGTGCATACCAGGCACCACATTGGATCCGTTCATTTTCCTTATTTAAAATTAGCACAAAGATAAACATTTGTTGTGTCACGCTCACTTGTTATACGATAAAAAAAGTTTCACAATTGAGATAAAATTAAAAAAACACTCATATACCTTATCCACCGATCTCGATTTTTTCACAATTGAAAAATAAAATTTCCCCTGTTCCTTGTTCTCATTAAAGTACCGTTCTTTACAAAATTGTGAATTAAACAATTTATTTCAGTGGTTTGATTCTATATTTTTTCTATCATCAAAGATGGAAATTTCAATTTTGTGATATATTTGAATAAATAAATTTGGTGTATTTAGTATCTTCTGATTGGTTAAAAGTATTACCTTTATTTTCAATGTTGTCAATTTTTATGGCGACACGCCCACTCTGACGTTATGTATTCATACGCCAACATTTGTGTACGTTGTTATTGTTAATATAAATAATATAAAAAGCTCTTTGAGCCTTATTTTTGATAGAAATTTATTTATAATGAATGACAATAATTTATTTTGAATTTATTGAACCATAAAATTAATTTTTGGCTCTTCACATTTTACATAATCCGCTTCGTGGATTATTCAATGTGAAGAGTCAAAAATTAATTTTATGGTTCAATAAATTCAAAATAAAAAATAGCCATTCATTAATTACAGTTAAGTTAAATATGTTTACATAAACCACCGTGTAGCCAATTTTTTGTCAATGGCCATGGTTTATTACATACATTTTTATTTTAGTTCTCAACTTCTAAATTTTAACTTAGAGAACATAACAATCAAGTTGACCTTAGATGGTTTTGTATAGTTTGGTTAAAAATATCTTTCAATGCATTTATATACATTTTTCTCCCTTAGCAAACAGTTCTTTAAAGCCCTTCATGTGAATCCAAGTACAAAATGCAACAAAGAAACCATTCACATTGTATTTTGTTTTAATGACACACTTGGTTATTACCATTTTAGGTCGCTGTAGACATTCACCCGGTCATCGAAGTTTCTGCAACATACACCATTTATTACGTTTATTTATATATTTCAAGCTGGGAATATCGATCGCTCCTCTTAAAATTTTTATTTACTGTTAAATGTTTTAAGATTTCTTGAAACATTTTTAAAAGACGTTTGTTCTGTAGCATTAAATCTTTATAGATACATGTTTTTTCATTACAATCTTCACAAATGACTTAATATTGTTTTATATTTTCAGTTTATAATTGAAGGTACGAAGTTAAAAAGTTACTTGAGTGATATTTCTGTAGATGATCCCAAACTGTACAACTGTTCAGATGGTAAGTTTTATTATTGAACACCACTCTCACAGTCGTTCAACAAAAAAATTACAATTAATGTATTAATATGCGTTATGCGGAATGAATTTGAAAGATTGCGCAATGATTTCATTACGGGAGAGTTTAAATCGGTTGTGTTACAATTGTTGTTATTCGGTTTGGCGGGCAGTATATTAGGAAACTGCACGAGTGTTAAGTTATCGAGGATTGAGTAGTGACTAAACCAGCACACGTTTTATTGTTAAAAGTTTATTTTTATCTTGTCCGATTTTGAACCAAACAACTTATTAAATCCTGTACAACTTCAAGCTGAAAATCCTGCTAACGGGATTTCTGCTTAATTTATCGAAAACCTATTTCAGCAAAAAGTTTTCGGGAATGAAAGGAATGTGACTGACACAACACAGAACGAATTGGCCCGTAAAGTTAAGAAGACGGAGAGTACTTTCCTATACAAGGAAACATATGTAGTTTGAGCTAAACACTGATATTTTAGACCATATAAATGTTGCCGTAGACTCCATTCATAGTTAGAGATAGTCCAATGTCGTCCCTTTTGTTGAAAGGTCGGAAAAGTTCCTGAAGAAGTGAAAGAAACTTTTACATTTAGCGGAAAAATCGGAGAAAGGGTGGAAACCTGTCGGTGAATATCTATCAGACGAAATGGCTAGAAATTTGGAAGGCGAAAGGAACATTCAAGCCGCAAAGAGCAGAGCCTTCAAGATTTAAGCATTTAAGCACATAAATATTTTATGTTTGTTTAAAAACAAAGTGAATCAAGGGCATACGATACAGTTACGGGGAGGTAATGACGTTGCTAACGTAAAATGTTATTTTTCGCGACGTCAAACTGTGACATATCGGTAAAAGATGCATTTTCGACTGATTTTTATCATTCAGACTGATTTAACTTGAAAACGAGTTCATGGACCCCTCGTTTTAAAAATGACAGCTGGCTCTATTATGTGTGAAGATTATTTGTGCCAATTTTTATCAACAAATCACCGATGAAATTTTTTTTAAATTAGTTAAATATACAGCAAAAAAATGCCGTTTTTTTACTAAATAATCAAAATGTGATAAAAATGAATTATTTCCAAAGAATTGTTACACAAATCCAAAGCACACTTATCTAGAGAAGATATTCCATATGTTTTTATAAAAATACGCTTGCGTTTTTCTTTTGAAATACAAAAAAATTAGGTATATCTTTCCAAAGGAAAGATATGTCAAAGAAACCGAAATTTCCAGTAAATGTCCAAAATTTCGACCCGATTTATCTCAAAAAGTAGTACATGAAGAATATTTTTTATTGCATATTTGTATTGATTGGGTGAAAAATAGCTTGTATGCAAACTTTCATTAAAAATTCACCGTGGGATCAAAACTGTTTCGTATGCCTTTAAACCATAAACTTTATTTCATAATCTATAAGATATCCAGACAAAAATGTTCAATACGAGAGGACCTATAGGGATAAATTCAGTAAAAAATCTCTCATCGACTTTAATGTAAACCTATGTTTTGAATTAAATTTATACCTGGATTACCTTTATAAATCAGAAGCTTTCATATATCATTCAAGTACAAATGTAGCTCCATCTTTTGCAACAATAAAGAGAGTCATACGGCATTTTTGGGGCATCCTCATGGCCTTGTTTACAAACACTGAAGATTTGCACTAAATTCCTATATTGACCCCTATTACTTTTGAACCCTGTAGTAAAAACATTCAGCATTCATGTTTTTTAACTCTAGTTTTGATCCATCTATCAAAAATATTTTACAAACATTATTTACCAATCAAAAGAGCACAAGACTTTAGTGTTATACAGAAAGCTTTCCGCCAAATGGGCGGTCCTTGATGACGTTTATTTATTTATTGAATTTACCCCAGTAACTGTCAGTTACAAATTAACGCCACTTGGCATTTTATGCAGTAACGCACGTGCTGTGTAAAAACAAGATTTTCGTATCTTCATACATTTTGTTCATTGTTTTTATCAACAGAGAAGTGCAAAGTGATAAGTTTTTATTGTATTTATATATTTACCAATTTTCGTATTTACTTCGGTTGCTGTAATTGGTTGTTTTTCTGGTGTCTAGGCAAAAGTTGTCTAAATAAGTGACTTCAGTATTGATTTGGATGTAATGTGACATGTCACACCATTTTTATGCCCCACCTACGAAAGTAGTGGGGTATTATGTTTTTAGGTCTGTGCGTTCGTTCGTTAGTTCGTTGGTTCGTTCGTCCGTCCGTCTGTCCCGCTTCAGGTTAAAGTTTTTGGTCAAGGTAGTTTTTGATGAAGTTGAAGTCCTATCAACTTGAAACTTAGTTCACATGTTCCCTATGATATGATTTTTTCTAATTATAATGCCAAATAAGAGTTTTGACCCCATTTTCACGGTCCACTAAAAATAGAAAATAATAGTGCGAGTGGGACATCCGTGTACTATGGACACATTCTTGTTGATTAAATGACGTCTGCTGAAAATTCCTCGGACGACAGTCGGGGTCATTTGCAACAACTTTTCGTTGTAACTGTCGACGTTTTCAAGACATTATAAATGTTTTATTTCGAGTTTATTGCGAGTATTCCATTAGAATAGGTATAACTATACCGTATCGTCAGCTCAGTAATCAGTGCTTCAAAAGCTTTAAATGACACTTAAATTGACATGAACCTAGAAAAATTTTAGGTAAAAACCGGTGGACACGAATGGTTAACAGTTCCGGTTCCCCTAGTTGCATCAGTCGTTTTGCTCATAACTAGTTAAATTATGTTGATAAGTCACAGTCAGTAAAAGTTTTAAATACGGAATATTTACCTTTAATACATATTTTTATTTGTAGATTATACGGACAGTACTCTTCTTTATCGAGAAACAACTGCAGTCGAAACAACCGAGTCAGTTGTGCAAACCACAACGATGTATCATAGACCTGTCGAAACCACTGAAGCTTCATTAAGTTCAGCAACAGTTACCCGACTAGTAAAAACATCAGAAGAATTAGCAGCTTCCTTACAGGTGTTATATTTATTAGTCACTTTGTGAAAATTACTGAAAGTTTTACTAAAAAAAAACAATAATAATCACATATAGCATCAAAACAAAACTTCAGGGACAAGGAAACCCACTACTCGTTAAACATACATTTCTGCAATAGACAAAAGCTAAGATTCCGCGTCCAGAAGAAATCTATTTGTAAATGTTTAGGTATTTATCTTTATCAGATTTATCACATGCAATGTGTTTGGTTATTTTATATATGCATCTAATTAAGCATTTACTTCGATTGTTGTTTTGGTTGTTGTTTTTTTTTTTTTGCTGGTTTCTACCAAAATATTGTCTTCATAAATGACTTCATTCATTAATCGGATGAAATGGGACATGTACGCCATTTTTATTAATTTGATGACGTCTGTCGACAATTCTATGGGCGACAGTTGGATTCGATGGCAACAACGTTGCATTAAGTTATAGACGTTTTCGAGATATTCCAAATGTTAATTTCTAGTAAAAAAAGAAAGTAGAAATCCAATTTTCTCAGGGAATAATAACCTTAAATGAACTCGGTTATTATTTCAAGGTTCCTTTTGGTCATAAAGCGTCCAATGTATTCAGGTATATACACATAATTGGCTTTCAAAGAATTAAGTTTAAGTATCCTGGTGGAGGTTAATCCAGGAAACAACTTCGGACGGAGTAATTTATCAAGTTCATTCATTTGAGAGTAGCCAACTTCAATTTTGGGTTTGACTGTCTCAAATATTCGTTTCACTGGTTCTGTTCTCTCTCTTGCCAATGAGTCTTTCTTTTAAAACGTCAAATCCAAAATTTTTCTTAAGAAATGGTACTGCTATTCCTCAATTCTGCTACCTGCGAAAATGGTCAGACTCAAAATTGCAAACTTAAATTTTCATACAAGTACCTTTTACTTCATAAGGATTTTAATTTCAATCCAAACGTGAACGACAAGATTTTAACAATAAATAGATAGAAAATGGAAACGGGATATGTGCCAAATAGGTTACAACCCTACCAAAGAGCAGAAAACAGCCCAAGGCCACCAATGGGTCTTCAACACTGTGAGAAAATCCCGCACCCGGATTACATTGCTATCATGTAACCGATATCAAGACTCATTAGTTACAAAAAAAGAAAATAAATGGCATCGTCATCTCAGTTTCTACTGTATTTTCTAGCAATGCTTTTGAATTTTTTTATTCCTTTTATTGATGAAATTGCTGCCGAATTAAAGTGAGGAATTAAAATATTATTATGATTAGATATCTAGTGTAAAATTAATGTCTTATCTCATTTCAATCCGATGGCAGAACAACAATACATATAAATAATAGATTACGCAAAACGAATCCCAGGAAAAACAGGGCGAACGAAAATGCTTCAAAATGTACATGCATGTAGTTTCGGATTCACTTGTGGCATCATACAATCGCTGATATGAAAATGGTGCATGTCTAACTCTACAACATTACCAAATATACACTATTGTAACGTATAATTAATCTACAAATATGCATGATTTAGTGTGAAAGATTTAAATGATACAAACATTGACACGAACCTATTAAAACATAAGGTGAAATCCGGTGGATGAGAAGGGTTAACAGTTCTGGTTCCACTAGTCGCAATCGTCATTTTGTTCATGACAAGTTTAATTGGTTATTCTGTTCATATGTGACATTCAGTAAAAGATTTTAATACAGAAATGATTTAATAGAGTTGTTTAAGCTATAATGAATATTTTTATTTGTAGATTATACGGACATTACTCGTAGTAATCAAGAAACAACTGCAATCAATACAACCGAAGCTGTTGTACAGACCCTACTCAAACTCTACTCATGATTGGTATAGGAGTAGGATTAGTAACTGCATTAATGATAATGACTAGCGCAATTTATGCTCATCATAAAAAGCGACTAAAAGAAGATGTTTTTGTGGACAGAGGGGAACCGATAGCTAAAAATGACTTAATTGAAATGTATAAATATGGTAAAGACAGCGACGTACGCTTTCCTTTTGGAAAAATAAAAGCTTAATCCAGGAAACGAAGACAAATATTCTCCTTCATTAAAGAGCTTATCTGCTGCAACTAAAAGTGTGTCTCCTCCCATGCCAAAATGTTGTTACTGAGCAAATATAAATCCAAAACGTTTTGCCTCAAGCGTTTCTGATAAAATTTATTTGAAAAACATGCGCTCTTAAATCGACATCATACATTTATTCATAATATCATATGAACCTGGACTGTTGATCCCTGACAATCAAAGGCACTCAGTAGTGTCGTGTTTCGTATTGACATCATGTTTAGCTCAGCTGGCTTAAAGGGCCAGTGTGAGCTTTTGCCATCACTTGGCGTGTGTCGTTTGTCGTCTGTCGTCCGTAAACTTTTACAAAGAAGATCTCCTCTGACACTACTTCCCTAAATTTAACCAAACTTGGCCACAATCCTCAATTGGGTATTTAGTTTTTAGAATATGAACAATAAAATGTCTGCCTGCCGACAAACATTGCCGACATGTCTTAAAATAGAACATATGGTAAAACTGCATTTTTTTGTATGTTATGCTATAGAAAATATTTCAGAATGATGAGAACTACCAAATGTCTATAAAAATAAAAACTGTCAAACGACTTCTTAAAGGAGTTATTGCCCTTAAACGTCGAATTTTGCCCAAAGAAAATTCACGTTTGCTTATTATCTTGAAAAATACAAAAGATAGATAGAAATTTTGAAAGCAAAAATGATAGGCAAGAAAAGGTCTACAAATAAATCAGCTTTGACCGATATCGTTAGTCGACTACTTATCAATGTTATTGCCCTTTAATGACGATTTTCCCATTTTTTTGCCTATTATCTTGAAAACTAAAATCGATAGATAGAAAGTTTAAATAGCAAAATGATCATGAGACTAGATCGACAAATAAGCCATAATAGCCGAAATTTTCAGTCGACTAGTTATTGGAGTTATTGCCCTTTAATGATAATTATTACTATTTTTTTTAGCATTTTCATCCTTTTATATCGAAAACTATAACAGATAAATAGAAACTTTAAATAGGAAAATAGATCAGCAGGATAAGATCTACATATATGGCAACATGGCTTAAATTGTCAGTTAACTCTTTATAGAATTATTCCCCTTAAATGAAGATTATTACTAAAAATGGCCATTGTTGAAGATGCAGGTGAGCGACACAGGCTCTTTAGAGCTTCTAGTTTTTATACATTCCTTTTGATAAAAACAATTTTAATAGTAAGAAAGAGTAAGATTTTTATTTTGACTCAAACTATGAATCAGATTTTAAGATTTGCATATAAGAAAAAACAGCACTTATGATATGATAAAATCGAAAATACAAAGTGTTACGAGGGCAACAAAAAATGAATCCTGTATATTTTGAAAACTGCCCTGATTTGCTCGCCACTTCATATAAATGTTTTCTAAATATTGGACCAGAAAATTACGATCAATTTAAGGAAACATCATCATAGTAGTGGAAAATACATATAAAAATAACGCAACTAATGACAAGTCGTTTCTCCATTGAAAATATCCTTTGGCATATTCATCAAATGTAACAAACCTGCAGACCTTGTGAATTAGCACGTTAAAAATCCGGCTCAGCCAGACGGTCTGGTACAAAGCAGGGTTAATATTCACATTGCATTAACATATTCTAGTCTGAAATAGGGATCTAATTTGCCGCACTGGACGTTAAATAGTCATCCATCATCATTATCATCATGAGACAAACAACCCATGCAGAACAGAATGTGTTCTTTTGATATTTAATGGGTTTTTTTTTCTTCTTTTTTTTAAATTTGAAACAATATGAGACGTGTATATCTGCTGAAAGGATTAAACGAATATATTTTTTAATTAATTAATTATGTTTAAAGTCATTATAGTACTGTTTAGAGGAGATTTTGATTGATTGATTGTTGTTGGCTGAGCGTCCAGTGGCAAATACTTCATGCATATTTATGATGCTCTAAATCGGGGATAAAAAATAATAAGTTTGATAAAATAAACAACGCCATGACCAAAAAGAGGTGAAATCAAGACATACGGCAGTAACAAACTATAAAACAGGTAACTTCAAATCGAGCACAAATCCATAAAAAAACAGAAAAAAAATCAGAAATATAAACATATTTAAAAGATATTTATTTTAGGTAAGCTGTTATGTTGGTCGGTTGTAGAATAATCACACCCAATTGTAAAAGAGACCACAAAAAAGGGACCAGATAAACAACTGCTGCTGGTTACAGTTTTTACAGACATCTTAACAAAAGATTAACACTTATGAACCATTGACCTATAAATTTCTACACATTGATATATTACCTCCGTGAAATTACATCCCATTGATATATTTGACATTCCAAAAAAAAGGTGACCCATATCAGCGGGACGTCTTTGTATACCTTTATATAGGAAGAGACCCTACCATCCCCCTTCCCCCGTGTCCTTGTATATATTAACTTTCTGTATGTGTCTGTCCCAAGTCAGGAGCCTATAATTAGTGATTGTCGTTTGTTGCTATATATCATATTTGTTTTTCGTTTATTGTTTTGTTCATAAAACAGATCATTAGTTTTCTCGTTTGAATTATTTAACATTTGTCATTTCGGGGCCTTTTATAGATAACTGTGTGGTATGGGTTTTGCTCATTTTTGAATGCCATAAGGTGACCTAAAGTTTTTTGATCTCTGGTATACATATAGAGAGTTGTCGCATTGGCAATTGTATCATATTATCTTATTTTGATATTTACTATTATGCACCCCCGCGTAAATATCGGATACCCAAGATATATCATAGTGTCAGATAGTTTTATTTTATCTTGATTGTTGTTTTTAACTGCAAAACAAATACTTGCACAAGGTTTTGTTAATAAATGTAGTGAATTCGAACAAGTCGTAATTTCATTTTTTACCCCCCAAAAAATTGAAAACATTCTCTTACTTAAACCACTGTGCAATATGGCATTAAACTTTGTTCACAGTTCTGAATTTATTTTCACCATCCGTAATAATTATCTAAAATGTTAACTTGGCATGCCATACTTGATGCGGACGTGAAAGAAAGTACTCGTCACCAACGCGTCAACGGCGATTCCATTCCACGGATGTTACATTATGACGTTTTCGTCATTTATTAAACAAACAATGTGGAATCTGTATCACGTTGAACTAACATTAACAACAGAAATTTTTAAAGGACTCATTATCATTTTGATATATAAATTTAACAAAGACTTACAATTATCTGTTATCAACACGCAAATTCCATGAAAGATAAACTTTACTGTTATGCAATCAACAACAAACAAATGAAAAACTTCGGCCCTAGTCATGATCAGTCATGGGTGGATGGAAATGCTTTTTATTGAAAAATGTATCCGAAAGAAAATTTTGTTAAAAAGCATGCATTAACTTCTGAATTTCTAAAATTATTTTTCCCTTCAAATCCTTCAAGCACATTTCATTTTAAACTCAAACAGACAATTTTGATTAAGCTAAAGTATGTTACCATACAAAATATGAACATATTATAAGATATCTATTCAATCATGTTTGGCATCCAAAAACTAGGTTTTAAAAAAGAATAAAGTTATGATTTTAAGCAGAAAAGGAAGTTAAAGGCCCTGATTTACAATGCATTGTGGAAAACACTTGCTATAATTACCCAAAATTAATCATATATTTCAAAATTAATACAGCGAGTAACTTGAAAAAAGTTGAACAATAAAATTTAATCATTGTATTTACTATCCATGTGATTAACTTTAAACGACTCGTTAAAATTAATCTTTTGATTAATTTAATGAAAAGTTGAACAACAGAACCCTGTAGTGTATCGTTGTTCAAATTTCATGAAATGATATTAATATGACAAGTCGAGCTTAAAAAAGCCCGATAGGATCGCATGTTCTCTAAAATGTCTTTATTCAACTATAAACAGTTTAGATATCAATATTTCAGATGAACGATTAGAGATTGTAGATTGTGAAAAACTTCTAGGTTTATATATCGACAATAACCTAAATTGAAATAAACAAAAAGATAACATGTCATGTAAAACATTACATGAGTTAGAAATGGTAGGTTTTTCGTTTCTGGGTGTCTGGTAATTCGAGAAATCTCTAGATAACCTTTGGTTAGAAATATAGCAAATTATGGAGTTAGCTACCCTTAATCAGTAATCTCTAGTTCATTTAAACCAAATTATATCTTGAAATAATAGGACAGGAAAAGGAAACGAATGATATATTCACACACAATTAGACATTTTGAACTTAAATTAATGTAAACTTGAGTGGGATTTTGTTTGTCATGTTGTCCCCATTGCCTGATTTTAAGCAGATTTGCACTTAATCGGTTGGATGTGGAAAAACGAATTCAATATCCAAAGGCAATACTCGCATTTAAATCATAAAATGATATGGTTACTAACTATTTACGAGAACACTTTCATTTTACTGATAACCAAAATTATAATTTACGTTCAGCTGATGAAAATTATCGAAATCTCCGAAGCCAAAAAACATTTTTTTTAAAAGAAAACTTTAATATTTTCTGGTTCTCAAATATTGAACAGTATACCAAATGAAATAAAGATGAGTAATACACTTGTATCTTTTAAAACAAAATGTTACATTTCTTTTTATAAAGAAGTCTAATATGCTTTTTCATTAATGTCTATATAAAATTTTGCGGACTCTCAGGAAGATAAGTTTTAATTAATGGGATTATCCTCTTTATTTATTTATCTAAAGGGGGATCTCACACAAAGGTGAAATGGTTTAGTGTAACAATTTAGAAGTTTAGTGTATTCGATTGGCATGAGCTCAGCAGCTTATATCGCTCTTAAAATGTCCTGTACCAAGTCAGGAATATGGCAGTTGTTATCAAATAGTGTGTTTCTATGTATGTTGGCGTTTGTTTTTGTTGCAGTTCAGTGTTTCTGTTGTTCCGTTGTTTTCCTCTTATATAGTTAATGTGTTTCCCTCGGTTTTAGTTTGTAACCCGGATTTGTTT